AGAGAAACCGGTTCACCCCGGACGGAGGGCAAGGGCAGGGGGCTGGGGAAGGTCACCACGTGTGGGGAAATGATGAATGGACTGCAGCTGAGAGAGGCTGTGGAGGGGAGTGGCTCTGCCAAAGGAGTCCAAGCCTGGCTGGCAGGGCTGGGGGGGATCAGAGGGGACGCACGGGTTTGTGCACAGAGGCCGCAGTGCCACAATGCAACCAGGGAGTGTTCCCTCAAAACGCACCCAAGAGGCAGGAAGACAGCACAGCAAATGCTCTCCTTGAAGACAAAAATGCCAGGAGGCAGGTCTATGAGGTCAAGAGCTAGAGGAGTTCCACTGGCCCCAACTGCACACCACACGCATACCACACATACACAGCCCAGCACACCCCCCAACACAATCCCAACATACCCCACACACGTACCTGCTGCACCCACACACACCATACATACATATGCACGCACCACATAGACACACACACTCACACACACACCACACTGGCAAATTGATTCATAAATCATGAATAGAGGCTGAGCTGTGCCATAAGTTTCCATGAACTGCACCCAAAATGTCTTAGATTTACTGGACATCCTTACTTCTGAGCAGCAAATGTCCCTTTTCTATTTGTGTTTTTTTGTTTGTTTCCTTGTTTTAATTTGTATTCTTCATGGTGTGGCAGCAGCAATGTGTGTCCTGTGCCCCGCCCAAGAACACTGGGGCAAGAGGTCCCTACCTTGTCACCATACCTGGCTCTTTGTGTAAGAATGTAACTACGAGCTCCTAAATAAATTACCTTTGTATATTTTTTAAAGATTTTACTTATTTGAGAGTGAGCACGAGCAGAGGGGTGAGGGGCAGAGAGAGAAGCAGGCTCCCCACTGAGCAGGGAGCCCGCTGCGGGGCTCGATCCCAGGACCCTGGGATTATGATCTGAGCCGAAGGCAGACGCTTAACCGACTGAGCCCCCCAGCCGCCCCACCTTTGTATGTTTTATGACACAGATGTGGATCAAGTCTTTCCGAGTCTATGTTCTACTCAGTTAGAAAAAACAAATTCCTGTCTAATCCAGGACCCTGGCTTAAATTGTTTATATCCTGTAGTCCCAATATTGCCATCTTTAAATATTTCTATGTTAACAAACACACCTATTTCATTTTATTCACTATGTAAATTCATTCAAATAACATGTAAATTTTGTGATAATTGTGTGCCAAAAGTGCTATTTTCATACAGATAAGAACTGATGCGATTTTTCTCGAATAATGGTTTATGCAGATTTTACATGAAGTCCCAACAGCTTTGAATATTACTGTTAACCCCTTGACTATTTTAATGAAAACTAAAGTAAACCTGTCTGAAATCCATCTAAAAAGGATACCAAGAGGTCCACCTGATCTCTCAAAGCGATCTATTATTTTCAGATGTCGTCAGCTATGTCCTGATGTCACAGCTCTCCTCGTCAGCTGTATGAAACAAGACACTGACAACTTATTTTAAGAACATTGTTTACTTCCTTTCAAAACACCAAGGCTTTAAGATCAGAATCAGAAATTCTGACATAAAATGGTAAAAACAAGACTCACTCCTTGCAAGCACTTTGCTGCCTAGGAGTATTTTACAGAAAAGCAGCGAAAATCACTGTCTTCCTATACTTCTAAGCATTCCCCAAGGCTTTGGAAGCAGAGGTCAATTGAGCTGTTTTATACAGGCCTTCATGAAGCTGGAGGGGGTTCTAGTTTTATTGTTTTCTTCTTTTTTTTAATATAAAAATATTTGCCTAAAACTCTTCTGGACTAGAAACTGCAAAAAGCATTTTGTAGAATGATGACTCCTTGGTAAAGGTACATATTTATGACAAGAGAAAAAAATACTTTCATTTTAGAATATGCAAGTCTAATTCACATGCTTCAGGAAACTCAGGCTAGAGATGATTGTAACAACACATCTAGGGCTCTGGGAGAATGCAGCATTTTAAAATTCTAATCTCCTGCTTACCATCCCATTGACAAATAAGAAGGAAAATGTACAATGACAACTTTGGGTGTGTTAGGGCAAATTCCTAGCAGGTGTAGTTAGGGGTGTGTGTGTGTGTGTGTGTGTGTGTGTGTAATATTCTCAACAGATACCACCAAAGACACATACTGAAGAATGATATTTTTCATCTTATAAAACTATGTAAAATTAAGACTACAGTAATTGAAATACATGAAAACAAACCCCAGAGAATATGAATGATTTATCATAACAGTTCTTGCCCAATTAGTTCCAAGAGAATTTAAGCAAATTCTTAAATTATACTCAAAGTTACATTAGTACATTGACTAACTTAGTAAATGATATTCAGAATGTGATAACCTATAGAGAAGTGAAAATAAGAATTGGTGGTTTAAAAAGAAATCAGTGTATTGACTAAAAATGGATAGAGTCAGTCAATGAGTAACTCTAGCATCTCAAAGCTAAACTTGATAAAGACAAGACTGGTCACTGAAAATGATTAAAGCAAGAGAGAGAAATGCCCCGTGCCTACTGGAGCTAACCTTATATTGCCCATGACCTCCACCCTCCATAACTGCCTTATAATCAACACTAACCCCACCAAGAACTTGTCCTCATTCCATGAATATAGTATTAAATATAATAAAAGCTCTTTTCATAGGTAAGTCAGAATTTGTCTGATAGTTTAATGCCTTATAAGTTCTAAGTGCTGTTCAAGAACCATCCAGTTGTCTTATTTTTTTGTCTTTTCCATTCCAGAGAGAAGCTCATCACAGGTAGTCATTGCTTTTTTTTTTTTTTCTGAGATAATGGAATCATTAAGTTTTTGAAGACTTTTATTTACAGGAGCTCTGTTCTATCACAAGGTCTAAAGCGGGAGGAGAGCCAAGACCTAGTCACGAAGGCGTTAACCCGAGCAGCCCTATGAATTGTGAGGTCTGGAGCAAGAATGCCTTGTGCCTTCTAGTTCTCTAAGAATGTTCTCTAAAAATGTCTCACTATCACAAATGTGCAGTATTTCATTTTTCTCATAAGCTTCATAGAATGCCTTTCTTTAAACTCTACTTCCACATTCAGAAGTTGTGAGGCTCACCTTTAAAGGCTACTTGGTGGATGGAGGAAATCATGTCGGACAGTCTCTAATTAGATACTACAAATAAGAAAACAACTGGATCCGTCTGTGCCATACTGAATGAGAAAAGTTCCGGGAAGCTGCTGGAACAAAGTGGGGCACACCCATTGTGACTCTGTTCATAATGTTTTCTGAATCCAAGCAGGGAGAGGCAAGTGAGCCACAGTGAGGCAAGCCTCCTGTAATGAAGTGGAAGACACCCTGACTGAGCTAGCTGGCAACCTTAAGGAGCTGTCCAGGGTGATATTTGTTCCTTCGGCCCCAGTGCCTCAGACCAACCACAACGTTACAGTCTTGCTAACTTTGTCAACCACAACGTTACAGTCTTGCTAACTTTGTCAGGGTGATGATCCAAGTATTGACGGAAGAGCTCACTTTTCATATAGAAATACCTGCCACTCAAAAATCTACTATGAGAAGGCAGAACAGGGTAAACACTCTCAGGGCTATCTTACAGAACTTTCTGTGCCATCCAGTATGGTGGCCACTGGGCACACATGGCTACGTGTGACTGAGGAACTGAAGATTTAATTTTGTTTAATTTTGATTAATTTTAATTTAAACAGACATATATGACTAGTGACTAATCATATTGGGGTTTGCAGCTCTATATTTAGAACAAAAAGAAACACACAAGAAAAGCCTGAGGAAGATTCTTCATAGTCATATACTCCTGGGGATGTCTGAAAAGTGGCTCTATCTGTTCCAACAGGGTCCTCACTTAATATAGAGCCCCCTCCCAAATGGTGTGATCACCCCCCTTTCCTCCCACTTTATGTCCTTTACTCTCTTTTCCTCCTCCCCCACACAACACCACAATGTCTCTAGTGAGTCTAGCCCCACTCTCCTAGTCCACGAGTCCTACACGTTGCCCAAGTACCCAAGATGTCTGCACATCTTTATATTTTTTATGGATTCCATATGATATCCTTTTCTTTTAAGTGTTAATGTTATATTTACACATATAACATATTCATTTATGCTATTTGGGAGTGTTTACCATTATCTCTTACAGTAACATTTGCTTTGGTTAATTTAGAAACTGTTTTCAGCATGGGTTTCCAGGATTGCAACCACCTGGTAAAGCAAGGACTTCCATTTGGATCTCTTTTGTTCAAACAAATATTTTCTTGCTTCACACATTACATAACTTATTCTTTTCTCTTTATACTTATCTATGATATTTGTTTTATGTATTTGCGTATTTGAATAATTTTTTTTAGTTTACATATTCTGTAACTAGAGCACCAATATGAATAATTCATCTATACGTTATTTTACCAATTGATGGAAACAGAAAAAGGACTAGGGGCTTATACAGACTTATTTGTACTTACTTTTTCTTAAAGCACTATACTATTCTGAAATATTGAAAACATGGCTATATGCTTCAATATAACTTCACACTTACTACTTTCTATTCTACCACAGAATTATCTCATCTCCAAATGACTAAAACATAGAGAAAAAGAAATAAGGGCAAAGTGAAAGCAACAAGGGGGAAAAGGCAAGAGGTTCTGGAATTTCTCTAGAAGACAGCAGGACTCAGCACTTGTGTGGAGAAAATTCAGGCCTGGGGTGGGACACAGAGTGGTGAGTGTGTCCCATGTAGTGGGCACTTGTTAAGGAAACTGTCAGATAGCAGAGGCTCTGGGAAGTGATGCAGGTCTGGGCAAGGCCTCAAGGCTCCAGGAAGGCTCCAGGAAGGGCAGAGGTGGGCAGGCAGCAGGAAATGTCAAGGAGGGGCCCTAGGAACACAGAGAAGGGAGTATGACAGGAAGGGATTTGGCTCCTAAGAGTCATTTATGATGCTACTATAGCTGCTAATCTGCACACTGTTCCAATTCGTCCCTAAAATAATTTAAACAAGAAAAAATTTTACCTGTGATGTCCTGAATACCGTGGACCACGGATATGGCCTATTCCTCGGCACCCTGGAGTAGGACAAACAGCTTGACCTGGAAGGATTTTCACATCATTTGCTCCTTCAGGAAGTAAAAGAACATACCTTGAAAACACCCTCAGTAAAGAAGAACTAGAAAGACTACAATATGTAAATGATACTCATTAAGACTTTGCAAATTAAAAACAAACCATCACCAAAACACTTACTGGATACTTATGATGTTTTAGAACATGATTTAGCAAAAAATATCAGTGCTGTAATAGATAAAATTAACGCAACTGGTATCTGAGGCAGAGCAAAATATATAGGCATTGAAATGTTTTAAAAAATATGAGAACATTCACTCATTTCTTTCAGAGAATAATACTGGCAAAGGCAATATAACCATGAGAATGTGAAAGGGTGAGGTCTGGTTTGTGGTTCCCCTTGAAGCTCCCACTCAACTGCAGCAAGGCTCCCCCAAATGCGGGACAGAAATTCAGTTAAGAGGGGCTCCTGGGTGGCTCAGTCAGTTAAAGGTCAGCCTTTGGCTCAGGTCATGATCCCAGGGTCCTGGGATGGAGCCCCGAGTCGGACTCCCTGCTCAGCGGAAAGCCTACTTCTCCCTCTCACTCTGCCCCTCCCCCTCACTGGGCTCTCTCTCTCTCTCTCTCTCTCAAATAAATAAATAAATAAAATGTTAAAAAAGAAAAAATTCAGCTAATAAATGAGGCATGCCAAAGATGGTGAACATAGCCCTACCATGCTTACTCAAGTAGTTTTCAAAGCTAGCTGAAAAAAGAACTGCCTGACCCATACTACACTATACTAATACTATGTACAGTAACACTCATGCTATATTAATACTATTATTAATGCTGTATGTACTTAATACTAATACTAATATTGACACTAATATGTACTATATATAACCACTCCAGGCCAGAGATAAATTCTGTCCAGCCCAAGGGCAATCTATCTCTAAAGGTTTTCAGGAGTTAAACCATCTTTCTCTGTTCTGTGATTTTCCTCGGTCTGCTCTCCCTCCAAAGAAAACCCTCTAGATCTTGTCATCACCCCAAAATGATACTGCTTCCAAAAGCACTAAGCAAACAAGCCAGCTACAAAATCGCGTCCTTCCAGATCGCTTGCTGAGGTAGCCCAGTGGCTGATGATGTTTCAATACCGTGGGAGTTTCCAGGCCACAAATTCTCTTCTCTCCCATCCTCATTCTCCTCCCATCATAACTCCCTCTCCTCGTCTTCGGTTCTGCCAACCAGTAGTTGCCCTCTGTTGCCAATAACTTAAGCACCCTTGCCTCACTGACAGGTGGCTGTGGAAAGAAAATAAAGGGCCAGCCATGGGTCAGTGGCACCACCCTGCTGGTCTGTGTTTTGCAGGACTAAGCTCTTCTGGAAAAAATTACACAATAGTGCAGATTCATTGTTAACAAAACTACCATCTTCAGTGTCACCTGAGCCCCTCCCCACTCTCCCAGGCTTCCACTAGCCTCTACCCTCTGGCTCTCACAGCTGCACCTGCCTGCACTTCACTGGGAGAACTGGAGCCTGTCTTTGGGGGAGAGCATCCCCTCCTCCCTTTCCATCCCAGTGAGGGAGCACTCACTCCCCTCCAGAGTGCGGGCTCTCACCCATTCTCTTTGGGTCTTCTCTACAGGGTCTTTAGAATCTCAGATATTCTAGTCACTCCTGGACTATTGAATCTTTTGTACCAGTATTTTAACAAACTCCAGTTTCCCCACAAAGACAAAGACAAAACAAAACAGAAAACAAAAGCTTAACACTCTCTTTGGGACCCACATTCCCCTTTAGCAGCCATTCACTGTGTTCCCCTTCCCAGCCAAATGTCTTTAAAAAGTTACTTTTGTTTCCTCACATCTCACTTCTCAAACCATGTCCATCTTCTCAGATCATTGGTGCCTTTTATGCGTTAAGCCCGACGTGCGGCTGCTGAGTATGCATCACACTCTCGGCCTTGGTGCTATTAATCACTATGCCTTCTCGAGTTGTTATTGCCCACAAGCTTTGGGGACATCACCCCCTACCAGTTTCCTTGCTGCATATGGGCATTCTCTTGTAAGATCCTTTGCCAGATTCCCCTCCTCTAGTTAACCTGAAGATGTCAGAGAACCTCAAGGCATGTTCCTGGGTCATCCATTTCTACAGCTTTATTTACAACCCATAAGCTATAGATGCTCACAGGCTATATACAAGCCAACAGCCTACATACAACAAATATTACAGGCTATTGCAACAAATATTTAGACCTCAGATAGATTTTCATTGTCTACTGAGCAACAAGAAAGTCTGTCTTAGATATGTATTATGCTCTCATAATTTTGCAAAACCCCTTGAGGGATAAACAGAGAGAAACGAGTTGCCCCATCCAAAGGTAGCTTTTGGAAGCAGCCTTAAAAAAGGAACAACTTTTAAACAAATCCAAGGAATCTATGTTAAAAAACTGTAAATAAGTCTCTAATTAAGAAGTATGTTTGTGTCGGTCAGTAAATAAAAAGATTTATAAGAAAGAAGCACAGAATATACAGTTTTCTCCAAACTGCGCCTCACAATGCACTACCAAGGCCACTGTCACAAAGGCCTGAAATATTAAACCTATAAACAAAGCACCAAACAAATGCTCTCCCTCAGTCAGCCCAGGTTCGCTCTGTGCGGAAAAGATTCCAGTAAACTGTCAGTGAAGGCTCCTTAATATGTTTTTCAGGACTATTTCAATGCACTTGATTAAATTAAGGCTTGAAGTGATCTTTTAAATATTTATCAATGCATACTTATCTCCAGAGCCCCGTTGGGGGTCATATTTCTCTCCTTGTTAGATACATAAGGAGGAGTATGACCTCAACTATTGTGAGAAGAGTTATTACATTAAGAACCACAAGCAAGGGTCATAACAAAGAAGAAGTCAAGAAGAACATGCAGTAAAAGAGCATGGAATCTAACAATTTTCCTTGGTACATTTTGTATGATGAAGTTTAATGGGTTGACTCAACGGTGAATTAGACAGCCATCTGTTGGGGAAAAGAAACCTGTGAATTCTACAATCCTTCATATTATTGCCTCTAGGATAAGGGAACCTATGATAAAAAGTAATGTTTTTTTCCCCAGAAAATAATTGCATTTTCACCAAGACTATAGTTCTTTTAGCTTGGATATTTAGAGAATTAGCTCAGGAAAAAAACGTTCTCAACTTGAAATCATTTTTTTTTTTCAGAACATTTTACCCTTCCTTGCCTTCTTTTTGCCACTTTAACTGAAATTAATTTCCTAGTTTATCTGCTGATCTCTTGTCTCCCTTCACTGCAGTGAGGATATGGACCTTACCTAATGTGCCTGCCATGGGAGCCCCAGAACCCACTACGGCAGCTGCCGGCGCCTTAACAAACACCGAATAAATACATTTTATAAATGAATCACAAATCATAAAGGCAACAAGTAACACCTGTAAGCATTATTTGGTATATCCTGACCACAATGCTGAGAGCTAATCCCCATTTTATTCTTATTTCAGAGCTTAGCTTGTCTAAAATCCATCTCTGGTTTTCTATTTCTGAATACTACGAGCTACTATCAAGCAGCATGAATAGCTCCTAATTTATTCCAAGTCTTCTATGAAAATTGTACTTAGGCAGGAGTCAATCTAATGGCAGAGTTCTTCCTGCAAAGGCAAAATGAAATGGAAAATATCCTTGTAGACTGGAAATTATCTGAGTAAGGAACAATGCTCCACACTCACGTGATGCAGTAACCCCCATTCACATGGAATCACCCAGCTGCCATCAGCAGCCCGGGTGGACACCGCAGCTGCCCACCCAACGTCCATTCCCTCTTTACTGCTGATTGAACCCCGACTTGGTTCGGGGCAGCAATGTGCCTAGCTAAAAAGGTTGGCTTTGCCAGCCTCACATCCAGATGTGGTCATCTGACACCGTCTGGGACAATAAGACCTAAGGGAAAGGCAACATAAGGATGCCAACAAATACTTTTTTCCCAGTAGAAGGGGAAAGGTGATGCTCTCGCTGCTTTGTCCATGAACTGCCTCTTCGACCCTCGTGGGACGCAGACCTAAGGGCTCAGGGGGTGACAAACACAAAGACAAAAGCAAAAGTGTTGAAGAAGGCAGAGGATAAAGGAAAATGGGCCTGGACGCAGGACATGCCAGGGTGGACCTACCACATCAGCGTCTGTCACAGAGGACAAATAACCCTCCCTTTGATTAAACCATTGTCAACAGATTTTTGTGTTACTTGCAGCTGAAAAGGCCATACAAGAAAACAGCAATTTTATTTTGTTTTTCCTTTTGTGAAATCAAGTAATTGTTCTAAGACAAAAACTAGAATTGCATGTGAGCATTATTTGCCACGTAAAGAAGATGTAAGATATCAAGGGAAAAATCAATACACTAAAGAGTTTGTACCCATCTCTAGAAAGTGAGAAAGGGAACTGGTCTTTACTTCAAAATGGCCCAAACTGGCGACCACCAGTGATGTGAGTGAAAAGGCTTATTGCCCCACTCATTGTGGGTTAGAGGCTGAGTTCACCGCCCTCCTTCTAAGTAGGAGGCAGCCCCCTCTCCAAATTGTTATTTTACTGGGTCTAGAGGTGACCGGGAGCAGAATAACAATGACACTGAAGCAAATGAAGATGCTCTGTTCCATTACATACATATGTGAGTTCCGCATTGATGTGGGCCTGCATCAGGGCACGAGGATCAAGCAGCAGTTTTCCTAGCTAATTACCCACTGCTGAAAAAGTTTTCAGTTCAACCTGATTCATTTAATAAGTGTTTTACAGAGAGATGACTTTAGCATCAGGTGGTAATATCCACTGGAGGGTACACAGAAAATTGGAACAGATTTAAATCTGATACTGATAACAGACAAGTTAAGATACTTTAACTCTTCTTATTTTCTTAATACTATTCTTTAAGTTTTTTTGAATAGCCACTGAGAGTTATTTACTCATTTAAAGAGTTACTGAGTGCCTGCTATGTGCCAGACAGGATTTCAGGTGCCAAGGGTATGGCAGCAGAACAAAGAGAAAGACCTGTCCCCCCAGAGCCAAA